TTTGTGATCGATTTATGGATCGGCATATTATATTTCTCTTCGTAAATGGGGAATTCGCAGAGCAAAGAATAGGACCAGGAACAGAATCGGCAGAGTTTTTTTTCAAGAATACTTGAGTAGTCTGCGAGCTCTTCGCAACCCGAATTGAAATCGTTGAACCCAAATGAGGCTTCAGTTGTTCGATCGCGTCGTCGTATCCTTCTTTGTTGATCAACAAGAGCATTCGGTATATACAGCTATATAGCACAAAGCGGTCTATCAAGCCTTGTCCTTGGTCCATTCTAGCAACTATAGTTTAGCTGCATTATAGGCATTTGTGTATTTGTGTGCATCCAAGAATCGCGAAAGGAGTGTTTGCAGGAATATTACGAATTTCAAATCCTGGTGGAAACACAAGATCGTCAAAATACCGTGCTGCGGCAATTGATTGAGCAGCAACAACAAGGTGTTATTGCATTAACATTACCCACGTTGCAGATCGTGATGGCGACCCGACTAGCTGCAGTGATTTCGTTCGTGCCTTCGAGCATCTAGTGGAGGCAAAGACCAAGAATCCAAGTGCGCGGCTGTACTATCTTGTACAATATATGGCAGGTCACGAACAAGAATTAGGAAGAGCTGTCTTTCCATGGAACCCAGTCAAGGATACGTCGAAGCAACACGGCTATTAAAGAAGAGGTATGGTCAAAATTATCAAATCGCTTCGGCTCACGTAAATCGTTTGATGGATGTACCTGTCATAAAATCAGACGGTGGTGTTTAGCTCAAAGGGCCGGTTGTTCGTACGGCGTTTAAGTTGCTAACCACCGTTTAACTCGCTATCCATCGTATAAAATTTAAACGCTTGAAAAATCCCGTTGTTCGTAGCCCATTTAGCGCTATCCAGCGATTAAATTTTGCCTATCCACTGTATAAACTTAAACGGTCTCTCGAGACCGTTTAAGTTGCTATACGGCGGATAAATTCTCTATATTCTTACTTTTTTTTACAAAATAGCGATGTACAGAGTACCTGGCATCCCTTTTTATGTTCTTCCACGAGTTAATATACACGCTGAGAGAAATTTTAGGCGTGAAATAGATAATATTTTGCATTATTACAATGATCACGAGCTACGACAACGATATCGTTTTGGTAGACGAACCATTGAGTATATAACACGTCTTTTGGAAAACGACATAGCTCCCATGACAAACCGAAATTATGCCGTCTCAGCAAATCGACAGGTGTTAATTACATTGAGATTCCTGGCATCGGGAAGTTTCCAACAGGTGACAGGAGATTCAGTTGCCGGATTAGATAAGTCCACGGTTAGCCGTATTATTCGTCCAGTCACTCTGGCTTTGTGTCGAAGAGTAAACAACGTTATACGGTTTCCTCAAACTCAATAATATAATAATATAATTGCTTCATCCCAAAACGAATGGGACTTCGTGAATAGAATGAGGTACCATAGTATCAATGTACAATGGATTTGTGATCATAAAGGTAATTTTAAGCTGTGCTTTTTTGTGATATTAAAAGGTAAACAAAAAGAACATTAATGATAGCCCGCTCGCAGGCTGTTGTCGAGCTAGCAGGCATAATTAAGCTAGTAGGCCCATCCAAAGTCCCTAATATAAATTAGGCTCTGAGATTAGGCATATTGCCGCATATAGGCCCATGTCTTGTTTGTTCAAAGCTATTAATGTTTGGGTTACTGTGTCTGCGTGGACGCTTCTACAAGGCACATAACTAGTACAAATATTCTGTTTGATTTAAAAAACAACATTGTTTTTAAAATTCAATGCACCTTGGTGACCCTACTTTTCATCTTTTGCTATATTTTCCGTAGGAAAATGTATAAATGTTGTTGCAAAGTGGCCAGGATCCCCACATGATAGTCACATCTTTCGTACGTCTCATATCGGGCATCAGTTGGAGCACACAAATTTTGAAAACGGTGTGCTCATAGGAGATATAGTGGCTATATGCATGCTTACCCTACCTAATGACACCCTACCCCGAGCCACAGACTCAAGCCCAAAGAAGTCTTAACCGAGCACTGCGAATCACAAGGTCCATTATTGACAGGACTTTTGGCATTTTGAAACGGCGTTTTCACCTTTCCTACTCGGAAGTGAGTATGACACCTGAGAGGGTGTATGCCATAACCACAGCATGCTGCATTCTTCACAACATAGCTATCGATATGAATGAGCCAGTACCAGAATTTAAAGAAGGAAGAGGCATTTGAGAATGTTGATTTTGTGGGTGTCGAAACAGGACGACTAGTGAGAGATCATCTTGCAAACACTTACTTCTAAATATTGTATGTAAATATAATTAATTCAGTCATATTATTAAATGATGTATAATTGTGTACAAATAATAGTAATTTAATTAATTCTGTAATTTAATTATATATAATCCAGTTTGTATTACAACATGTACGTATTAATAAATAAATATTGTTATAAACATTTAGTCACATTGACACAATTTAAAAAATTCAAATCTTTTGTACACATATTTCCAAAATCCATTTATACTAATCGAGAATGTTAAACAATTGTTTTTTTGCCTTTAAGGCCTCAATTTCAAGCCTCAACTTTTCATTCATTAGCTTCAAATTTTCCGCCTCCAAATCAATTTTAAACTTTTCAACTTTTAATACCTCAAACTGCATTGCTTGGATGTCTTGATGGGTTACCTTTTGCTTCTTTCATTTTGGAGGAGCAGCAGGCTCAGCCTTTAATTTGAGGCTGTTTTTGCTGCTGGCACTTCAATACCATTATCATCTTCATCAACTTCTACTAGCAATGGGTCCACAATTTCTAACTCTAAAGTGGTGGCTTCTGAGAGATCAGTCTCACTTACATAACTAATTCCTGCAATAAGTGAATACATAATAGTCAACACAATATTTTATGAATATTTTTATATTGTCTATCTATTCATAAAAAACAGTTAATCCACAAACCATATCTGTGGTATAGTTTGTCATGAAAAAAAACAAACACCCAAGTTACGTTCCCTCTTATATAATTTTAGTATTATTTTAGTAGATAATAGTAAATAATAGTATTATTTTAGTAGACGGTAGCCACGGCCCTCGGTTTATATAAAGTGTTTTACAAAGAAGCCAAGGTGAAGACACCTCAAATAAACGAAACAAAATGCTAGAATATTAACACATAATTATGTTTTACTTATCTCATATAAATCTGCATGATATTTGGGTAACATTGATACTTTCCCATACAGATTAAATGTGAAACACTTGCAAATGCACTGTCGCCATTTTTAAAATATAAAATGATATTTTGTTGTGCAATGCACCCATGATAATAATGATAATTTGAAAATAATTTAACTTACCCGATTCAATACCACCTTCAATCCCTGAGAATCCAGGTTCGTCTCCAATTAATTCAATTATCCTTCGTGAAGTCTCTTTAGGCGGTGTAGGCGCTTTTCCTCCCCCGGTTTTGCTAAGTACTTTCTTCTCTTCCGCAATTTCCTTTCGTACCGATCCACACATAGTTCGCCATTTTTCTTTTATATCTTTAACGCGTCTCTTCGCGACTCCCAAAGCATTAATTTTGTCGCAGCATGACTGCCAAACTTCATTTTTTTTTCTTATTGATGAGAGTATTCGAAAACTTTCTCTTATAACTGCAAGGTTTTCTTCGGCTAATTGTACAATTAAGTTGGATTCAGCCGCAGAAAAATTAAGCTTCCTTGCTCTTTTGCCTTCCATGATGGTAGTATTTTGGAAGTTGGCGGGAAAAATACCGGTTTTGACCAGTTAAGGTTGAGCTATCCAACGTATAGTTAAACGCGCTACAAAACGGGCTTTGTGCAACGCGATTTTATCGCGCGTTTAACTATTATAATTAATACGGTGGATAGCGACTAAACGCCGTTTAAGCTAAACGCCGTACGAACAACCGGCCCCTGGCTATTGTCCCAGTCCGAGTAAAAGCGAAACGCGGGTCAGCGATCGTAGAAACATATGCATTCCTAGATTCAGGATCGAACACTTCGTTTTGTACTGAAACCTTAATGAAGCAACTAAAAGAAAGTGGAAACTCAACGAGCCTTTCATTGATGACAATGCAGGGAGAAAACATGCCAGTTCAATGTTCCTTGGTAAGCCTCAAAGTTTCGGACCTTAACGCCGTAAATCACGTAGATGTACCATGGTGTATTCGCGACCATCCCTCCCTTTTTCGCTTGACGCCATTGGCAAGGAAGACAATGTGCAACGTTGGCCGCATTTAAAGGATATAGCTTTACGAGAAATTGATGCTGAGGTCGGTCTCCTCATTGCCAGCGATGTACCAGAAGCCTTACAGTCTATTGAAGTGCGCCCTAGTGAGAATGGTAGGCCATTTGCAACGAAGACCGTCTTCGAATGAGTGCTAAATGGTCCTCTTGGGAGAGGCATATCAAAAATTACAACCACCAATTCTGTGCAGTCGACCAAGGTATTAGAACACCAATTCCACAGCTACTGCAACCGCGCGAATTCAACGATTTAAGCTACGAAGTAGGACCGTCATTGTTCCAGGACGATAAGAAGGCCTTAAAAATTATGGAGGATTCTATAAAGTTAGAAAACGGACATTACGTGATCGCGCTACCCTGGAAGAATTATCCACCGCCACTACAAAACAACCAGCCCTTAGCTGAACAACGACTGAATTCACTTAAACGACGTCTCCAACGAGAACCCATCGTGCATACGAAGTACACGGCGTTTATGAAAGATCTGTTGAACAAGGATTATGCGAGAAAGGTGAATTGCGAAACTAAAGACCCATCAAAAATCCTGTGGTACCTTCCCCATCACCCAGTGTTGAATCCCCACAAACCCGAGAAGGTAAGAGTAGTCTTATATTGCTCGGCTAAATATGGTAATACTTCACTCAACGACCAACTGCTATATGACCAGTACTTAGTCGGCGTACTCACGAGATTTAGAGAAAAAAGAGTGGCAATTAATGAAGTCGGATATGGTGTCCATGTTTTACCAAGTTCGCGTTGAGCCAAGCGACTGTAGTGCATTGCGGTTCTTATGGTGGCCGAATGGAAAGTTCAATGAACCAGTCGAAGGGTACGAAATGCAAGTGCATCTCTTCGGTGGAATATCATCACCAAGTTGTTCAAATTTTGCTCTGAAACGAACAGCAGAAGACAACAAGACAGAGTTCGAGCAAACCATTGCTACCGTCAGTTTCTACGTGGACGACTGCCTCAAATCAGTGAAATCCGATGAGGAAACAGTAAGAAGGGCAAGCCAACTAAGAGAATTGTTGTCGAGAGGCGGTTTCAAGCTAACCAAGTGGAATTCGACGTCTCAAGTGCTTCTCAAGTCCCTACCAGAGTCAGAAAGACCTGAGAAAATCAAGGATCTCAACTTCGACAAGTTGTCTATTGAAAGAGTTCTGGGAGTCCAGTGGAGCGTCTCAAGCGACCAATTTGGGTTCAGCATTAACGTCAAGGAGCGTCCCCTGACTAGAAGAGGAGTATTGTCGGTAGTAAGTTGGGTGTTTGATCTGTTGGGATTCGCCACTCCATTCATTCTTCAAGCAAAACAAATCCTGCAAGAATTATGCCGAATGAAGCTCGACTGGGACGAAACGATTCCCGTGAAGCTTCAAGATCGCTGGTGGTCATGGCTACCAGATCTAGATCTACCAAACTTGGAACATTTAGGAAACGATCGTTGCCTCAAATCTTATAATGAAGAAGTTGTGTCAACCCAGCTGCATCGTTTTGCTGACGCGTCTCAAGATTGTTACGGAGCGGTCGCCGGCGGGTCGCGGGTCGCGTACCTGAGGATCAAGAACAACCAAGGTGAAGTGAAGTGTTCGTTTTTCATGGGAAATTCTCGCCTCGCGCCGATCAAGTCAGTTACTACTCTTCGTGTGGAACTTTCTGCAGCAGTCACGGCAGTTAAACAAAATGTATCAAGCGGAATTGAGCCTACCAATCGATGAATCGCTGTTTTAGACAGATAGTACCTGCGTCCTCAAATACTTGGAGAACGAAGACAAGCGTTTCCAGACCTTCGTCGCAAACCGCATCAGTGATACGGGAGGCTTCCTCTTTGGAACAGTGGCACTACGTCAAAACCGAGAAGCATCCCGCCGGCGACGCATCTAGAGGAGTTTTAGCTGCTCGTCTACATCGCTGGATACAGGGTCCAACATTTCTACAGCAACCTGCGAGGTATTGGCCACAGCGACCCGAATATATCAACCTTACATTCGCACCAGACGATCCAGAAGTCAAGAAAGAATCAGCAGTCTTCGCGGGCGGAGCAATTGGGCGCGACTTCCTTACCACTGTTATTACCAGATTCTCGTCTTGGAGCCCGCTGAAAAGAGTTGTTGCTTGGGTTTTGAGATTCAAGTCAAATCTACTTCGTCGTATTCGAGAAAAAGAGAGCGTTACGACTACACAAACGGCAACGATTACCTCAATAACTGTTCCTGAATTGCGTGAAGCTGAGATAGAAATTGTCAAGCAAGTTCAACGAGTAGCATTCTGGGAAGAAATTGGCGTATTGACGAAGAAGGAAGGAAAGAAAGAAAGAAAATCCCAAAGGAGTAAAGAAATCAAGCGGAATTTATCAACTTGATCCCACCATCAAAGACGGCCTGCTGCGTGTTGGTGGTCGACTGCGACGAGCCGAAGTCAACGACGAAGCAAAACACCCCTGCATCTTACCAAAAAACCACCCGTTGTTACCTTAATCGTGAATTATTACCACCACGTCTCGGGGCATTCGGGCGTGGAGCATACGTTGGCCCTCATTAGAGAGAGATACTGGATATTCCAGGGAAGGTCAACAGTTAAGAATACTATCGGAAAATGCTACAGCTGTCGAAAACGTCAATCTCCAGTGTCCCAACAAAAGATAGCTGATCTTCCACGCGACAGAGTCATCCCTTCGAAGCCGCCATTCACTTATACCGGAGTTGATTGCTTTGGGCCATTCGAGGTGAAACGGGGAAGATCAACTGTTAAGCGATATGGCGTCCTTTTTACTTGTCTCACTGTTCGCGCATCCACATCGATGTGACCGCGTCTTTAGACACGGAGTCCTTCATCAACGCCCTTAGACGTTTCGTTGCAAGAAGAGGTCAGTCGAAAAAATACGGTCAGACAATGGGGGGAACTTCATAAAGGGAGAAAGAACTCAAGAAAGCAGTAAACAACTGGAATCAAACACAAATACACGAAGCCCTTTTACAGCAAAACGTTAATTGGACCTTCAATCCCCCAGCTGGCTCTCATCATGGAGGCGCTTGGGAGAGGTGTATACGGACAGTCAGAAAGATGATGCTGGCAACCCTAAAGGAGCAGCAGTTGGACGAAGAATCCCTCAACACCCTTATGTGTGAAGTCGAGTCTGCAGTGAACAGCAGACCCATTACCAAATTGTCGGACGACCCCCGAGATAATGGGCCCTTGTCCCCAAACCATCTACTTTTGCTACGCTCAGGATCAAGTGTCCCTCCTGGTGTTTTCTGTAAGCAAGACGGCTATGGCAGAAAGAGATGGCGTCAGGTGCAATACATGGCAAACGTATTTTGGCGTCGATGTTTGAAGGAATACCTACCGTCCCTCCAACGAAGGCAAAACGACGAAGTTTTGGTGCTAATCGAGAACAAGGCGCGGTATAATTGGCCTCTCGGACGCGTGGTGGAAGTCTAAACAAATACGGGCGATCGGTGAAGCTCAAGACGAGTTCATTTAAACTCGTGAGACCGGTGGACAAAATCGTGCTACTGGAGGAAGGTCAAACAGAGAAGCAATGAACAAGTACAGTACATAGCTCGAACTATTCTATATTTACTAGCATAATCTATTGTTCAGTTTGCTTTAATTTGTTTCAAACCATGTGTTATGTTAATAGTAAAGGCTCATAAAACGCCTTTAAAAGGCCAATATGCAGGTTTGAAACACGTAGTTAGATATCAACATGGTGCCATTGCCATGGTGACGTAATGCATGCAGTAATAGGGGTTTCGGGTTTCAGTATATTATTAGATCGGATAGAGCGAGGACGCTAAACAAACTGCAGTAATTTATTCTATTCAAGTTCGTGTGCGCTAACCAAAGAAAGTCGTTTTTTATCCTGTTGTGTTGATTAGTATCATCAGCTGTTATTTATGTATAGATTCATGTTTATGTTGGTTTGCGCGCATGTCATAATCTGTGTAATCCCTTTCTAAATTGTGTAGTTCCAACCCATAAACCAAACCTAATTGATATCACATACCCGCAACCACACCAAATTCTAGTTACTGAACCTCAAACCCTATCGAGAACATTGTATCAGAAAATTGTGTCATTTAACTGATATTATTATACATTATAGTAGTAAAAGCAATTTGATTGGCTAATGGTTGACAATCGCGCAATCACGCAAAATTCAGTTATCTGCTAGGCTGCTAGCAGATAACTGAGTTATCGCGTATCATACTTGAATCGACTCTTTGGACTTTGTGCATGTTAATACTCTGCTCAGAGAGTTTACATTAGGGATCGGGCGACGTTAGCGAAATGAGGAACGAACTTCCGATGGTAATATGTGCATAATCCGAGGAAACTTCTGACTTCGGTCTTATTCTTGCGTTCTTGCAACGTACAGACAGCAACTGTTTTGTTAGGATAAACTACAATACCTTCTTCATTCACGATATGTCCCAGGAAGCGTACACTGCTCTTCCGGCATTTATCGTATTTTGGTTCCTCGCGAGATTCAAACTTTCTGTTGACAGCTAGTATAAATTTCGAAGTGCCTATTGATTCTCCTGCATTCTGATTGGTCAAGACTCACTGTCTCTGAGGTGATAGTCACTGGCCGGTGATTTGTTGTTTTTCAAATAAGAAATTCGAAGTAATTATTAATTTTTATGAAATTATGTTGATTATTATTTGTAAACACGTCGAAATTTACACTAATTAGTCGCAACAGGCTCAGTGATTACAAGCCTATATTCACTTCGCATTCGCCAATAATTGTTAATTAGCAAGATGAAGCGATGGCCCGGTTTACACTGTCAATCGCTTTCTGTGATCACAGTTTCAATTTTGCATTCTTAAACTGAAAGTTTTAAACATTTTGTACTGAATATTAGGATGAAATAACTTACTGTTAACAAATGAGTGTTACAGTTCCCTCCAGTATTTTTAATAAATCTTTTAAAACTTAGGATTTGTTGTTTGAAAATTCCAACTGTGATCACAGAAAATTTGATAGTATAAACTGGGCCTAACTCAAGTGCCAGTTAGGTGGTCGTTCTTAACGGAGACGTAGACGTAGACGCATGTCATCATCCGGTAAAGAGTCGACAAATTGGTTACGAGCTAAAGTGTCGAAAAGTGTTGGAGGCTGTCTCGTTTCCAGGTGCTTTAAATAAAATAAATATAGGAACAGGCTTGCCACTGATCTATGTAAGAGCCTGTAGTGTTCTTATATTTATTTTATTTAAAGCGCCTGGGAACGAGGCTGTGTTGGAGGTGCGTCAGGATAAGCAAACCGAGCAAGCCTCTCGATATCTTCAGTCAAAGCTGGTAGTTCTTGATAGCGCTGCCTGAACCGATTCTTAAACTTCACTTTAGATATCTCCGTGCGATGTGACGTACCAAAGCGACTAGCTAACGCTGTAAAGAGGGCTCCAAAACGTTGTCCACGGTCGTGAGACAAATTTGCCAACACTTGTAAGGCACTTCGCTTCAAACTCGTTGCCAGAAATGCTGCTTTCCCACGATGTTTGACCATCACACATGTTTGAGGCGCGGGCTCAGGGAATTTGGGGAATTCCAACGACGACGGGGGGGAATTCCCGTTTCCGGCGCTGAGTCTCGTGATTAGGTTTGTAGAAGATTACTTAAATTTATCGAACTTATTTGTTTATGTGCGACGCTGTATCGTGGCTCTTTACGATGATATATGGCATGAAGAGTTGAAGGTATGAAGCTAATAAATAGCCCCAATTAATCACAATAATTTACTGCAGCGCGAGAGAACTCTTATGCGACTATAAATGATATGTTTCATCGAGCAGCATATTTATTGCGAAGCATTAATTGTGTTTGGCCGTAGCACAAATCAATCCGGCGTATGATTGATTTCCACACAGGCTTGATTACCACAGTAGACCATTATCTGTTAGTTTTAATTTCCAGGGAGAAAATGTAGTAGTAATTTGCCTTGCATTGCTTAGCATTACATTGAATATATTCTGCCGGTTGTTCATTTACTCGTGCAGTCTTCATGCATACTATTTATAGCGTTACATTGAGTTGTTCATTATTCAAAATATGTGATATTTTAGCATTTTTTTAACAAAATTTATTTCTCCAAATGTTCTTATTTTATTCCTAATTTGATCCATCGAAAGTTTCTCACTTGATGCCTGCCAGACACATTGTATTGTTGCACAGGAAGTTAAATAAAGGCTGTTAAGAGTCAAAATTCTACTCTTTAAATTTCTTTATTTCCTATGCAGTTAGGCAGCGCGTGAGACAAAAGCAACTTTGATAAGATGTTTTGAGACCAATGTTCGATAAAGAAAGACAAAACCGGCATTATATCGAGGCAACTACTGGATCAACAATATAAGCCCCGCTTATACTACACTCAACACTATGGGGGGTTATATTTAAAACGGGGGGGGGGGTGATCGGGGAATGGGGCGTTGATCGGGGAATGGGGCTCGTGATTTGAATGCAAATTAAACTTCTTTAAACTTCTTAAAACCCAAAGGTAGTTGAATAAAAACATTCATGCAAGAAGACAAGCACATCAGCTAAAGTCATTCATTCCTGAGCAATGTTCCTCTTTGATTATTGACCAGCTTCTTAAATTTTGTATATCATCCCAAACATGAAAATATTTATAAGATCACCAGAAGTATTTTTGTCCTAGGAAATTAAGTGCTGCAACACTGTAGGTCCAATTAATCATTGGCATAGGAAATTTTCCACTAAGTTTCTTGCTCACTACCTCAATCCATGTTCCTAATAAAACAAAAAAGCAAGCATATTTGAGAAATCAGAATTAAGATAACAAATGTTAAAAGAAACTAAGCAGTGCATAATATGTGTGAAATATATGATTGGCGATGCTATGCGCACACTTTGCATGCTCTGACAGATATAAAATTATAGGCATAAGGGGTAGTCATCTGGTAAGCTGTCAATGATTTTTCCCTTTATCTATTACATGATAAATAACTATATAATCAATTGTCTATAAATAATCCCCGAGCCGCCGTGCGAGGGTACTAATTCCGCCCGGAGATTAGGAATTACACCCGGGACCCGGGAGAACATAGCGGAATCCAAAGTTGCCAAAATGTCATGGACGTTCAATGGTCATGGTAGTTGTGCGCATGCGCGAAATTTGAACGAAGAAAGAACGGTCGTCTACGACTTGCTGATTGGCTAAGACAAAAAGAGAGCATGTATGATAGCGTCAGCATTTTAACCGTCATTTTTCAAACTATTTTTTAAAAATATAAAATGAAATCATGGAGTCAAATATTAAAACAATAATAAAAGATTTAAAGATCATCACAGCACAGAAACAGTTGGTGAAATAGAAACGACTCGTAGTTTTTAATCTTTGAAGTGGTAGGTGTCTATATTTTGCTTATTCAGTGTTTGCTGTAAGAATGCATTGTTTTTTGACAAGTACGAACTTGGTATGTCGTTTTACAAGGAGCTAACCGACCGTTTAAGGCTTTACATCATCGCTTAAACTTTAGAAAGAGTTCTCAAAAGTGTACTTCAGAGTTTTGATAAAACAAATATCACTTTGCAGCTTATATAGTCGCTAAAATTATTGAATGAAATTAATAATCGAAAAACAACATTCGACGTTTAGTGCTTGTATGGTTATTATAATCATTTGTGCTGTTTTGATGTTTTGAAGGTTTAGCTATAGAAAAGTTTAACACTCACTTAGACTGCAACGTAATGCAGCAGGCAAACGGTGATTTCTGTTCACCTTTACGACTGTCTTTGTTTCCGAAAAATTTGCACGAGTTATTTCATAACATTAGCGTAGAAAGTTAGGTCTGGGTAACACCACAGGCAGCCCGGTCACTGCTGTTACGGGAATTCCGAAACATCGAGTTTGGATCCGAGTTCGAGTTCGAGTTGAACTTCGAGTTAAATATTAAATTTCGAGTTACCCTAATCACTAATGAAGCAAAGTAATACACTAATATATATACTTGTCAGTGAATGTAATGTGTTGTAATCATTTTCGGCATTTCCGGTATTTTCCCAGCTGCTCCGACTCTTGTTTATTTTCTGAAGTTCGGAACAACGTGCCTGAGCCCTGAGTGAAATGGCGCAAAAAAGGTATGTAAATTATTGAAAATTAAACATAAATATTTATTATTTTCTATTCGTACCCGTTGTCATTGTTTCTAGCTGTTTATGTCCGGTCTAATAGACTAAGCACAGTTACTTAGTTTAAAAGTCCTATACAATCCCAAAGGCAAAGAGGAATAAAATATTTTGCTCTTTTTTAGAGAAATCTTGGGGGGATAGTGCTGTTTATTTATAACTAGTTACCGTTGCAATGCAACGTTTTACCGTTATCGTTACTGAAAAATTTAAGGATTACTTGTAACTAGATACTTTTAATGAAGTAATGGCTAAAGAAGTGGTGTGTGTGTTGGGAGATTCCTAACCACTATTACAATTATAGTAAAGACCAGTTAAATATTATTTACAAGATTTCGCATACTGACTATCGCTAGAATGTGTAAAGTTTTTCGTGCATGCTCATCTACGAAGAACTCCGTCATCAATAATGACAATATATACTGCACAGTCTACCTTGTAATCGACCTCTGGAGAAATTTCCAAAAAGAACGCGGATTTGTAGATATTTTGGAAATGTGCATTATATAGAGGTAGCGGCTGCAAAGGAAGTGGCGTTTAACACAGTAATTTTATGATTGTATATTAGCCCTTCTCCTATAAAACAAGAAAAAGCATTCGAAAAAGCAACTCGAAATTTAACTCGAACTCTAACTCGAAATTTAACTCGAACTCAAACTCGAGTCCAAAGTCGAGGGTACCTACCTCCCCTTCATAAGTGAACTGAAACATAAATGATCGAGTAATTTATTTCAAAGTTTTGAAACGCAAGGACATTGAAAGACTTATTTATCGGTACAAAATTGCTTCACTCTTCAAAATACAACTTAACACCCTTAATTTGATATTTGGTGTGACCACCTTTTGCTTTTATGACTGCTCTGCAACGTTCTGGCATAGTGTCAATGTATTTTTTAACAACCTCAACAGGAATGCTTTCCCAGCATCGTTTAAGTTCTAACCAAAGCGTTTCTTTTGTTTTTACACGCGATTTGTCAAGTTTACGGTCGACTAGTTCCCAAATTTGCTCAATAGGATTCAGGTCTGGGCTTTGTGCTGGCCAATTCATGATTGTTAAAACACCTGCAGCCTCTTTTCTTCTTAAATAGTTTCGGCAGTATTTTGACGAATGTTTAGGATCGTTGTCTTCTTGAAAAACAAAATTATTACCAATTAGCCGAAGACCTGACGGTGCTGCATGCTTCACGAGATTATGGTACACCTTTTTGTCCATTATACCATCTATTTTAACCAAACCGCCTAATCCTGCTGTTCCAGACATAGAACCCCAAACCATAATATTCCCACCTCCATGCTTGACTGTGGAGGAAATGCAGTCGTTTATGAGCCGCTCACCTTTTCGTCTCCGCACATAAAGCCTTCGATTAGTGCCGAACAATTCAAACTTTGATTCGTCTGTCCATAATACCTTATTCCAGTCATCTTTGTTCCAATCTTTATGTTGTTTTGCAAATCGTAGGCGTTTATTCGGTTCTGTGGTCTAAGCAATGGCTTCTTAACGGCTACCCTGCCAAATAGTCCTTGTTCACGTAAGTATCGCCGTGTTGTTGATGCAGCAATGGTGGTCTCTTGGGGTAATGCTTGATTGATCTCATCACAGAGTTGTTTGGAAGACTTTGTACGACCTTTGAGACTAAGCAGCTTAAGTGCATGAACATCCTTTTTTGATAGCTTTCTTTTGCGTCCAGTTCTAGGGCGATTTGCACACGATTTCGGGCCTTGATTTGTCAAGGTGGTTAATGGTGCCCAAAGAACATTTTAAGTCGCCAGCAATCTTTCTGTATGACCAACCTGCATCATAAAGTGCTTTTATCCTTACTCTTTGCTCTATAGTAAGTTCTTTACACTTAGCCATGCGTCTTCACAAAAGCAGGGCTAGTCTAAAGTCAAGTCTGGTGCATGTGCTATTTAACACGGATGACTGAATACCATAGGGATTGTAAATTTCATGATATACATATTTTAACATGTTTCAGGCTCGGGGACTGTTAGACTATTGGTGTACTGAGAAATGAAAAAATTGAAGGTGTTCAAATAATTATGATCAGTACTGTACATTAATACCATCGCTTAAAACAAAAATACTACGCTAGTTTCTTAAAAAAAACTAGATACAAAACACCTTGGATATATTAACTATATTTATCTGCCGTTTTTAGACTTGAAAAAAACTCTAAAATGCTCAAATTTTGCGAATTAAAAGTGTATTTTCGTTTAAATTTTGCGAAACAGAGGCGGGATACAATTTACTCGACAAACGTCATCATCGGAAATATCGTCGGCAAATTTCTGATTGGTTTTTGAAAGTCCGGAAAATAACGAGGCTATCTTTAAAATAGGGAATGGGGAATGAGGGCATGGGGGAATGCGGGAATGGGGGAATAAGGGAATGGGGGAATAAGGGAATGGGGGAATAAGGGAATGGGGGAATAAGGGAATGGGGGAATAAGGGAATGGGGGAATCAGGGAATGGGGGAATAAGGGAATGGGGGAATAAGGGAATGGGGGAATAAGGGAATAAGGGAATGGGGGAATAAGGGAATGGGGGAAT